CTTGAGCATTTATTATGTCCCACGTGCTGCACTGAGAAGGTTCTCTTGCTGCTCCCCCCCCATTTTGGGGGGTCAGTTGTGGATCTTGAACTCAGGGCCTGGGCACTGTCCCTCAGCTCCTCAGCTCAAGACTAGCGCTCTACCATTTGAGCCACAGCACCACTTCCGGTTTTCTGGTGGTTCGTGGGAGATCAGAGCCTCACAGACTTTCCTGCCCAGGCTGGCTTTGAACCGAGATCCTCAGATCTCAGCCTCCTGAGCAGCTGGGATGACAGTGTGAGCCACCCGCACCTAGCTTGTTCCCCTTTTTACAAACCGGAACCCAAGCTCAGGCAGGTGACTTAACTTACCCCAAATTGCATAACCGGTGAGTAGCTGGACCTGTGCTAACCAGAGTTCTTTCAGGCTCTAGAATCCATGTGCAATCTGGAGGAACAGACTTCTCACAGTTTCCACGGTGCCATGGAAACATCTAGAAGATACAGAAGGAGTCATTCTCCAGCATTGCTCAATGAGCCACTGCAGACTGAGCCCATGGACAACAAATATTTCAGCAGGCCACCGGTCTGGCATGAGGTCTCACGTAGCTCGGCTGGAGACGTGGGCAGAGCAGACCTCTCTAGAGCTGCTGCTAATCCATTTCCTCATTTTTTGCAACGTCTCTCAGCAAAACCAGCTTTCCATATCTCTCTGACTCTCGGGCCCTGGCCAGGATACAGATTTTGTGCATGTGTCTGTGTGTGTGTGAGAGAGAGAGAGAGTGTGTGTCCTGGGACTTGAACTCAGGGCCTGGGTACTGTCCCTGAGCTTTTCCACTAAGGATTTGCACTTTACCCCTTGAGCCACAGCACCACTTCTGGTTTTCGCGTGGTTTGTTGGAGATCAGAGTCTCACAGACTTTCCTGCCCAAGCTGACTTTGAACCACGATCCTCAGATCTCAGCCTCCTGAGTAGCTGAGATGACAGGCGTGAGCCACCAGTGTGGGGCAGAGATTTTTTCCAGTTTTAAGGGCCCATGCTGGTTAGATTGGACGCAGCTATAAATAAAAGGAGGAAAAGCCAGCCGTGTGCTTTAATTTTCCTTTATTTAAAACAGCCAGGCCCTGATATCTCGTCTGCCATCCCTAAGCTACTCTGGAGGCTGAGATGTGAGGACCACAGTTCGAAGCCAGCTTGGGCAGGAAAGTCCATGACACTCTTCGCCTCCAGTGAGCCATCACAAAGCCAGAAGTGGCGCTGTGGCTCAAGAGACAGAGCACCAGCCTTGAGCGGAAAGGCTCAGGGACAGCGCCCAGGCCCTGAGTTCAGGCTTCAGGACTGACACATCATGAACATCATCATCATCATGTCAGAGTGATGATTGCTTAGATGGAAGCCTGGTCACCCACACTTGTGTGCTGCTGGGTCCTCTCTGCCCTCATATGTTTTTTGGTCTCTCAGAAGTCATTATTGTCGCAGCAACCCCGCCAAAGACATGTCTGCAGAGAGTCCACCACGAGCCACACAAGGACTTTGGAACTCTGGAGGAAAATAAATAAGTAAGTAAATCAGCACAAGTAACGCTTTAGGAGAGGCTGCTTGGTGCCAAAATGTGTAGGGAATGCTGCAGAGCCTTGACAAGGAGTGAGTCACCGAGGAGAAATTCAAACCCCATAATCCGAGAGGAAGAGACTGGAAGGTTCCAGAAGGTTCTAGAAGGTGGTGGACTTGGACCTGAGAAAGAGGAGCTGCATGCCAGGTACCAGTGGCTCACGCCTGTCATCCCAGCTACTCAGGAGGCTGAGATCGGAGGATCACAGTTCAAAGCCAGCCCGGGAAGGAAAGTTCAGGAGTCTCTGATCTCCCATGAACCACCAGAAAACCAGAAGTGGTGCTGTGGCTCAAAGGGTAGAGCGCCAGCCCTGAGTGAAAGAGCTTGGGAACAGCACCCAGGCCCTGAGTGAAAGAGCTTGGGAACAGCGCCCAGGCCCTGAGTTCAAGCTCTAGGACCTGGGGGAGGGGAAATAAAAAAAAAAAAAACAAGAGGAGCAGCAAAGAAGCTTCCAGAAGTAAGCACGAACCAAGATGGCTACTGCCATGGGTGGCTCATGGAGTAGAGATTTAGGGCCATAACCCCCCAGGAGGTGAGGGGGGGGCAGGGAGGAGAGGTCACAGGTCAGGCCCGGGCTGGTCCCCTGCTGCAGGTTCAACTCCCACCACCAGGGGGCGTGAAGGAGCCAAAATGGATCCTGACCTGAGCCAAAAAAAATAAATGTTATTTCCCTCACCCTTAAAAAATAAAGGAAAAAAAAAAACAGGGAAGGAAAGAGAAGTTTTTCCACTCCAGCCTCACAGAGCCTGGACAGCCCGGCCCACGCCACGTGCTCTCTGACTCAGGGGCTCACCCAGATTTTCCTTCTCCAGTTCAGCCAAACCATATTTTTTTATTTTTTTTCCCATTTCTCCTTTCCTGGTGGCTTGTAAACGCCCTGGTGACACAGCGTGGAAGGGACATTAACAGCTCTTAACTCGAAATGCCCACGCCCCGGGGGCCACAGGAGGGACCCTTGCCCAAGAGAAACCAAAGACTCGAACTCAGATCCCACGCCACTTCCGACCTTCTTACAAGGACTCCTCTTGGCCTGGTGTTGGTCGAGCAATCCTCACAGCTCAGGAGGCTGAGATCTGAGGATCGAGGGTTCAAAGCTAGCTGAAGCAGAAACAGCTGTGAGACACTTTGTCTCCCGTGAACCACCAAAAAGCCAGGATGGAGCTGTGGCTTAAGTGGAAGAGCACCAGCCTGGAGCAAAAAAAAAAAAAAGAAAGAAAAAGTGTGAGCACTAGTCTCTAAATTCAAGCCTCAGTACTAGCATTGCACACACACACACACACACACAAATTATATGTTATGTGGGTCTGAATATAAGGATGGGCTGCCTGGCCCTGTTTTCTAAGTATAAATAATAATAAAATGGTCATTTTCTAAGCTCCCAGGAAGCCTTGTACCCACAATTACTCAAGAACTAGTTTCTGCTGTAAATAGAAATGCTTGCTAAATTCTTCCCTCCTGGCCAGCAGGAGGAAGGACATGGAAAAATAAAGCCTCTCTTCCTTTTCCTCCTCCTCTCCTCCTCCTCTCCTCCTCCTCCTCTTCTTTTTCCTTAGACCTGTAATCTGGAGACAGATGGACGGTGGCCAGAGCTAGACACGCATGCCTGTAATCCCAGCTCCTCAGGAGGCTGAGATAGGAGGATCGCTGTTGAAACAAATGACAACCTGGGCCGGGAAGGTCTGTGATGTGAGACTCTTAGCCCCCAAGAAACCACCAAAAAGCCAGAAAGTGGAACTGTGGTAGACAATGAACCTTGAGTGGTAAATCTTAAGAGACGGTGCCCAAGGCCCTGAGTTCAAGCCCCAAGACCAGCACAAAGAAAAAGAAACCGTATCATCTTGATCTGCCCTGATCAATCAGGATCCAAGTATAGGTGGGGACCCCCTGGAATATTCAGCCAAACCCCTCCCTCACGGATTGCTACATCCCCCTTCCTTGCTTCCCTCTGTGGGAGCCCCTCCTGATTTTGGGGTGATTGATTCTTCCCCAGCCTGGGCAGGAAAGTCTGTGAGACTCTGATCTCCCATGAACCACCAGAAAACCGGAAGGGGCGCTGTGGCTCAAGGGGTAGAGCGCCCGCCTTGAGCTAAAAAGCTGAGGGACAGCGCCCAGGCCCTGAGTTCAAGACTCAGGACTGACAAAAAAAAATGAGCTGAGCAAACATTTGAGTTATATTCGTGTGTGTGTGTGAGAGAGAGAGAGAGAGAGAGAGAGTGTAGTGGAGCTTGAATTCAGGGCCTGAGGGCTGTCTCATAAATTTGTCTCTCAGGGCTGGTGCTCTACCACTTGAGCCACACCTCTACTCCCATCTCTTTTTTTTCCAGTCGTGGGGCTTGAACTCAGGGCCTGGACACTGTCCCTCAGCTCTTCAGCTCAAGGCTGGCGCTCTACCCCTTGAGCCACAGAACCATTTCTGGCCTTTTCTGCTTAGGTGGTGCTGAGGAATCGAACCCAGGGCCTCATGCATGCGAGGCGAGCACTACACTCCTGGGCCACCTTTCCAGCCCCCACTCCCTTTTTTTTTTTTTTAATTTGGCTGGTTAACTGAAAACTCCGAGTCTGGGCTCTGCTCCAGTGCTCCTCAGCCCTCAGCCCCTCCCGGGTAGACGTGCACAGAGGTGTGCCAGCCACCCTCAGGTGGCTTCTAGAGGTTTCTCTGTCCTGGGCCTGTTCTGCTTTTCCCATGATAACGACACTGAAGGACATTGCAGGGGGGAGGGGGAGGGG